AAAAATCTCATAACTAAGCCAAAAAATGCATTAATTTCAATTCGGAAACCTTTCCTATGCTAGTTTTTATCAGGGCAATAAAACTGCATACTCAATAAAAAAATTATTTTTGTCGATTTTTGACAATTTTAATGATGTACCCCTTATCTTTTTTTGCAAAAATGGAAAAATTTTCAAAAATTTTTTTTCAACCGACATAGTTAGATCGATGCAGCTGTTCATTCTGATCAATAATATATATGATTTATGGGGTCGGAAATGACTCCTTCATAGTTTTATAAGCTTCTGACTAAACGTATAATACCATTCTTCAGTATATATTTATTTTATATGACAATTTTGTAAATAATTCAAATTTTAAAAATTCATAACTATGCCAAAAAAATATTAATTTTAATTCGGAAACTTTTGCAGCTACTACTTATTATGGCAATAAAACTGCATTCTCAATTTACTCCGAAATGAGTCCCTCGCAGTGCTACAAGCTTTGACTAAACGTCTAAAACCATTCTTTGGGTCGATATTTATCTATATTTTATATGACAATTTTGTCAACAAATCAAAATTTAAAAATCTCATAACTAAGCCAAAAATGCATTAATTTCAATTCGGAAACCTTTCCTATGCTAGTTTTTATCAGGGCAATAAAACTGCATACTCAATAAAAAAATTTTTTTTGTCGATTTTTGACAATTTTAATGATGTAACCCCTTATCTTTTTTGCAAAAATGGAAAAAATTTTCAAAAATTTTTTCAACCGGACATAGTTAATCGATGCAGCTGTTCATTCTGATCAATAATATATATGATTTATGGGGTCGGAAATGACTCCTTCATAGTTTTATAAGCTTCTGACTAAACGTATAATACCATTCTTTCAGTATATATTTATTTATATGACAATTTGTAAATAATTCAAATTTTAAAAAATTCATAACTATGCCAAAAATATTAATTTTATTCGGAAACTTTTGCAATGCTACTACTTATTATGGCAATAAAACTGCATTCTTAATTTACTCCGAAATGAGTCCCTCGCAGTGCTACAAGCTTTTGACTAAACGTCTAAAACCATTCTTTGGGTCGATATTTATCTATATTTTATATGACAATTTTGTCAACAAATCAAAATTTAAAAATCTCATAACTAAGCCAAAAATGCATTAATTTCAATTCGGAAACCTTTCCTATGCTAGTTTTTATCAGGGCAATAAAACTGCATACTCAATAAAAAATAATATTTTTGTCGATTTTTGACAATTTTAATGATGTAACCCTTATCTTTTTTTGCAAAAATGGAAAAAATTTTCAAAATTTTTTTTCAACCGGACATAGTTAATCGATGCAGCTGTTCATTCTGATCAATAATATATATGATTTATGGGGTCGGAAATGACTCCTTCATAGTTTTATAAGCTTCTGACTAAACGTATAATACCATTCTTTCAGTATATATTTATTTATATGACAATTTTGTAAATAATTCAAATTTTAAAAATTCATAACTATGCCAAAAAAATATTAATTTTAATTCGGAAACTTTTGCAATGCTACTACTTATTATGGCAATAAAACTGCATTCTCAATTTACTCCGAAATGAGTCCCTCGCAGTGCTACAAGCTTCTGACTAAACGTCTAAAACCATTCTTTGGTCGATATTTATCTATATTTTATATGACAATTTTGTCAACAATCAAAATTTAAAAATCTCATAACTAAGCCAAAAATGCATTAATTTCAATTCGGAAACCTTTGCTAGTTTCATTAAAATAAATAAATTTAATTTGACGATTTTGACAATTTTAATGATGTAACCCCTTATCTTTTTGCAAAAATGGAAAAATTTTCAAATTTTTTCAACCGGACATAGTTAATCGATGCAGCTGTTCATTCTGATCAATAATATATATGATTTATGGGGTCGGAAATGACTCCTTCATAGTTTTATAAGCTTCTGACTAAACGTATAATACCATTCTTTCAGTATATATTTATTTTATATGACAATTTTGTAAATAATTCAAATTTTAAAAATTCATAACTATGCCAAAAAAATATTAATTTTAATTCGGAAACTTTTGCAATGCTACTACTTATTATGGCAATAAAACTGCATTCTCAATTTACTCCGAAATGAGTCCCTCGCAGTGCTACAAGCTTTGACTAAACGTCTAAAACCATTCTTTGGGTCGATATTTATCTATATTTTATATGACAATTTTGTCAACAAATCAAAATTTAAAAATCTCATAACTAAGCCAAAAATGCATTAATTTCAATTCGGAAACCTTTCCTATGCTAGTTTTTATCAGGGCAATAAAACTACATACTCAAAAAAAATATTTTTTGTCGATTTTTGACAATTTTAATGATGTAACCCCTTATCTTTTTTTGCAAAAATGGAAAAAATTTTCAAAAATTTTTTTTCAACCGACATAGTTAGATCGATGCAGCTGTTCATTCTGATCAATAATATATGATTTATGGGGTCGGAAATGACTCCTTCATAGTTTTATAAGCTTCTGACTAAACGTATAATACCATTCTTCAGTATATATTTATTTTATATGACAATTTGTAATAATTCAAATTTTAAAAAATTCATAACTATGCCAAAAAAATATTAATTTTAATTCGGAAACTTTTGCAGTGCTACTACTTATTAAGGCAATAAAACTGCATTCTTAATTTACTCCGAAATGAGTCCCTCGCAGTGCTACAAGCTTTGACTAAACGTCTAAAACCATTCTTTGGGTCGATATTTATCTATATTTTAATGACAATTTTGTCAACAAATCAAAATTTAAAAATCTCATAACTAAGCCAAAAATGCATTAATTTCAATTCGGAAACCTTTCCTAAGCTAGTTTTTATCAGGGCAATAAAACTGCATACTCAATAAAAATTAAATTTTTGTCGATTTTTGACAATTTTAATGATGTAACCCCTTATCTTTTTTGCAAAAATGGAAAAAATTTTCAAAAATTTTTTTCAACCGGACATAGTTAGATCGATGCAGCTGTTCATTCTGATCAATAATATATATGATTTATGGGGTCGGAAATGACTCCTTCATAGTTTTATAAGCTTCTGACTAAACGTATAATACCATTCTTTCAGTATATATTTATTTATATGACAATTTTGTAATAATTCAAATTTTAAAAAATTCATAACTATGCCAAAAAAATATTAATTTTAATTCGGAAACTTTTGCAGTGCTACTACTTATTATGGCAATAAAACTGCATTAATTTACTCCGAAATGAGTCCCTCGCAGTGCTACAAGCTTTGACTAAACGTCTAAAACCATTCTTTGGGTCGATATTTATCTATATTTATGACAATTTTGTCAACAAATCAAAATTTAAAAATCTCATAACTAAGCCAAAAATGCATTAATTTCAATTCGGAAACCTTTCCTAAGCTAGTTTTTATCAGGGCAATAAAACTACATACTCAATAAAAAAAATTTTTGTCGATTTTTGACAATTTTAATGATGTAACCCCTTATCTTTTTTTGCAAAAATGGAAAAAATTTTCAAAATTTTTTTCAACCGGACATAGTTAATCGATGCAGCTGTTCATTCTGATCAATAATATATATGATTTATGGGGTCGGAAATGACTCCTTCATAGTTTATAAGCTTCTGACTAAACGTATAATACCATTCTTTCAGTATATATTATTTTATATGACAATTTTGTCAATAATTCAAATTTTAAAATTCATAACTATGCCAAAAAAATATTAATTTTAATTCGGAAACTTTTGCAGTGCTACTACTTATTAAGGCAATAAAACTGCATTCTTAATTTACTCCGAAATGAGTCCCTCGCAGTGCTACAAGCTTTTGACTAAACGTCTAAAACCATTCTTTGGGTCGATATTTATCTATATATTTTTAAATGACAATTTTGTCAACAAATCAAATTTAAAAATCTCATAACTAAGCCAAAAATGCATTAATTTCAATTCGGAAACCTTTCCTAAGCTAGTTTTTATCAGGGCAATAAAACTACATACTCAATAAAAAATGATTATTTTTGTCGATTTTTGACAATTTTAATGATGTAAATTTTTTGCAAAAATGGAAAAAATTTTCAAAAATTTTTTTCAACCGGACATAGTTAGATCGATGCAGCTGTTCATTCTGATCAATAATATATATGATTTATGGGTCGGAAATGACTCCTTCATAGTTTTATAAGCTTCTGACTAAACGTATAATACCATTCTTTCAGTATATATTTATTTTATATGACAATTTTGTAAATTCAAATTTTAAAAATTCATAACTATGCCAAAAATGTATTAATTTTAATTCGGAAACTTTTGCAGTGCTACTACTTATTACAATAAAACTGCATTCTTAATTTACTCCGAAATGAGTCCCTCGCAGTGCTACAAGCTTTGACTAAACGTCTAAAACCATTCTTTGGGTCGATATTTATCTATATTTTATATGACAATTTTGTCAACAAATCAAAATTTAAAAATCTCATAACTAAGCCAAAAATGCATTAATTTCAATTCGGAAACCTTTCCTAAGCTAGTTTTTATCAGGGCAATAAAACTGCATACTCAATAAAAAATTTATTTTTGTCGATTTTTGAAAATTTTAATGATGTACCCCTTATCTTTTTTTGCAAAAATGGAAACAATTTTCGATTTTTTTTTTTTTCAACCGGACATAGATCGATTCAGCTGTTCATTCTGATCAATAATATATATGATTTTTGTTGATTTTACAAAATTGGAATTTATTTGAAATTTTTTATTCACAAATAAAAAGATAATAAAGCGTATGTCTAACATAAATTATACAAATATTATATACTTAAAGCCTACTTGCGTCCGCGTTCATCCCCGAATCCTCTCCAGGGGCGGGTGCACTCAATTCAGTTACGGGTAGTGGTGGTGGGTAGTAGTAGTAGTAGTAGTAGTAGTAGTAGTAGTAGTAGATGTAGTGTTCGTAATCTCGTTCAGTCAGGTTGGAGGATCCCTCGATTTACCAGAACGGACACCAGCCAATGTAGCACTGGCAGAGGTTCTCGTTGTTGGTCGCTTGCAGGATGAGCAGGTCCACCTGTTGCTGCTCGTTGACGCTCTTCTGGGTCTGGAAATCGGTTCCGGTGAGCTTGCACTTGACCCGCTTTATCACCTGGCTGGCCTTGCTGTTCGTCTCGTCGGCCACGTTGTTGTGCAGGCCGCCCTGCTGTAGCTGCGGATCGTAGGGCTTCGACTTGGCCATGGGCAGCGAATCCTCCACCGAATTGCTGAGGCTATCCTGCATGCCGGAGCCTCCGCCGCCACCTCTTCCTCCCGGCGCTCCATTCCCGGCCGCCGCATCGTTGCCCTTCTTGTCCACATCCAGGAGACGCCAGTTAAGCAACGGATCGTAGACAAAGGCCTCCAGTACGGCCATCAGCGAATCCTTATTCCGGCGAAGCACCAGCATCACACTCTCGCATGTGCGTCGGTAGGTGCCCTCGATGCCGGTCACCTCCATGGCCTTGATCAACATCCGGGTGAGTCTGAAGGGATCTTCTCCGGGAACTTCTCGCGCGTCATTGCCACCTCAAAGCAGTCACCGAAGTCAATGTGCAGGATCTTGCCGCTCATCCTGTCCAGCATAAGGTTTGACGGATGCCGATCGCCCAGGCCGAGGATGTAGCCCACCATCGACATGACGGCCAGGGACCGGGTGTAGTTATTCCTTCGCTCGAACCACAGCTCCGAGGACGGTGACTTCAGCCAGAGCAATTTGGCCAGGTCGTCGCCTTGCGTCTGACCCAGCGCGTACTCAAACACCTCCACCTTCTGCATGAGCGTGAGGTGATCGTAGTCCGGGGCAAAGTTCAACATGGTGCGATGCTCCTGGTTTAGCGGCACCTTCTTCTTGTCCCGGTAGTCCCGGATAAGCGTGTGCAGCGTGTCACAGTGCGGCACCCATCCGATCAGACCCGAGTTGGTGCTGAGCGGTATTACCGCGTACCGCTGGATGGCCAGGTTCCGACGGAAAGTGTCCGGGTCGTCCAGGAGCAGGGTGTTTACCAGCGAGAACAGTTGCATCACCCGCTCATCCTGACGCAGATCCTCGTGGCCCTTGAGCAGGTACATATAGTCCTTGCCGTTGGAGCCACTGATGCATAGCTTGCGGGGACGCTGCTTGGAAGTGATCACCTGAAGGTTCGTCTTGATGTGACTTATCCGAATCAATTCCTGGCCCGGATTATACGATCCCGGAACGGCCAGCTCCAGGTCCTTGCAGGTCATCAGCTTGGGCGAGACATACGGCAGCTCTAGCGAAGTGAGCTGCGGCAGCTGTCGCGAGATCTTCTGGAAGACATGATAGTAGATGTCCCAGGCTCGATCCAGGTCCATCACGACGGCCGAGGTCTTGTAGCGCTGCGACCACTCATAGGCCTCGGTCAGCTCTCGTCCGTAGGCCTGCGAAAAGGAGGTCTCCTTGAGCGTCTGCGGTCCCCTGTCCAGCATGGCGTGCAGCGGCTCTAGGATCTCGAACATTCCTTTGACATTGCGATCTCCAAAGTAGAGGCGAGAGGCCTCCTCCAGACCCTCGTGCCACTGTTCGTGCCACAGGATGGCCACGCGGATCAGTTCCTCGCTGCACATAACCGCCTGCTCTACCAAGGTGGGAGAATGCTTTCGCATCGAGTCCAGGATCTTGAAGGCAGCATTCCGTCGCGCCAAAGAAGCCGACTTGGAGGCCACTGTTAGGGGATAGACCAGTGCCTGTGGATGATTCTTGCCGATGTCCATGAGCAGTTGGTGGATTAGCTGTCCTACCAGCTGGCGGTGGGTGTCGATGCGGGCAATTAGCTGCGGAATCACCTGCAGCCACGTATTGATCTCGATCAGCTTCATGCCGGAGAGCAGGGCGTCGTAGACCTCCGCATGGTTGCCGTAGTCGAACCAGAGGGTCAGGAGGCGCAGCGTGTCCTGCAAGGAGTTGCCCTTGATGAGGCTGATCGATCGGAAGAAGCCTTGAACTGCCGGCACTGCGTACTGCTGGATAATCATTAGGTCGCTGTCTAGGCCGAGGCTCATTATGCCCATGCCCATGCCCATGCTGGCGGCACCCTGTGGCTGCTGCTTGTCCAACGCCGTCTTCTGGGCTGCACCACCTTGAAGTTCATGTAGGCCCACAGGTGCCAGGCCTTGTACCAGTTCGGATCGTAGCTGGTGGCCTTCTCGAAGCACTCTAGTGCTCCGGGTATCGCTTCCGGCCCGAGGCTGTCCTGCAGCTTGTTTTGCCAGGTGGCCAGCCGCAGGTAGCATCGTGCCATCAGTCGCTGATCCTGCTGCTTCAGTGCCTCCGGCGGCAGGCAGCTCAGCTCCTGGCTATAGGTGTTGACAAAGTGCCGCAGCTGGTCGTAGGCCTCCTGCAGCTCATTGTTGGCCCAGGAACTTGGTGTAGGCGTATGTTACCTGGGGCTGATTGCACGGCAGCGGATTCATCTTGGGATCGGTGCCCAGCAGCATCACGAGCGTCTTGTGGGACAGGTGCAGGGAGCCGCTCTTCCGGCACAGGCTCGCGTACTTCAGCCAGGTGTGAATGTCGTCGTGCGGCTTCACCACCAGCGAGTGCACTTGGATGATCTTTCGCCAGTCCTCCACCAGACGTTGTCCTCCCTGCAGGCGCTTCCACCACATGGCCTTCAGGGGCTCCCTTCGTTCGGGTATCAGCTTGTACTGGATGACTTCCTCTAGCTCCGCTAGCATTTGCACACAAACCATGGCTCCGTAGGCTCTCTCGTAGGATTCACCCGCCATGGACGTGAGTTCCGTGTCCAGGAGATCCCTGGTCTCGTCTATCAGACGCTGGGCGGTCTCAAAGTCGTCGTGATGCACAGCCAGCACGGCCCGGTAGAAGCTACCGTCCTGGGTGTCCTCTATGCATCTCACATACTCTCGCATAGCCTCCCAATCCTGAAGGCCCCAGGCAGCCACGGCAGCTCCGCGACTCGCTCTCGCCCTGGCCTCAGGACTGAAATTCTCCCACTCGTTCTTGGTCACATTGCTCAGCTCCGACCAATCACCGAGCGCTTCCAGGCACCGCATGTGGCCGAGGCGCGCCTCCAGATCCGAGGAATCAGCCTTTAGATTCTCTTCGTAATGTTCCAAGGCCTGGTCCCAGTTGTGAAGCTTCTCATACCATCTGCCCTGGACATTTAGCTCGTTCGCCGCTTTGCGGTAAGTGGTGAGCAGACCCTCGGCCGCCTCGCGCTGCTGCAATTTGTTATTGATAAGGATCAAAGACTCAAATACCTGCGGATCTTTGCGCAGCAGAAACTCCTCTTCCTTGTAGCGTAGCGCCTTGGCATAAGCTCGACATGCCATGGCCCGAGTGCCCAGAAGATTCGTCTCAATGGGTATGGG